TTGACACATGAATGTCCTTCATAGATTGTACGATATCTAAGTATTTAAAAGATTTAAATACATTTTCATAATGTATAAATATTTCGGTCAGTACCGACAACTCTCTCCCTACCTCAGAAAACCCATTTCTGGTTTGCCTAAACAACTTAAAGAGATCAACTTCGGTTGACCTGCACTTTAAGCAAGACCAGCGAAGACCTTTGCCATCATTAATAGCGTCCAGAATTCTTCCATAAAACTTTTATTTCATTGAAAATGAACTTATGTATGTACAAAATAATTTATTTTACTGCAGATTTGTTGGACTGAATATTTTATATCCTTTTAAGAATATTTACTTAAGATTTGCATTTAAAAATTTTAAATATTCTCCATGAAAAGAGAATTATATAAAGAAATTTTGAAAATTTTCAGATACAATTACAATATAAAATACAAATGACCCGTTTTAATAAACCTTCCCGGGTTTTCTGCCTTCAGTAGATCAAGAAATCAAAAACCTACCCTTTGCTGCAACAACAGCGCACAAGCGGCACAATATCTCAGGTATAAAACAAGATATCTCGTTGAGTTAAACAGCATTAACAAGGGGAAAAATTTTGCTTTCAAATGATTTATTCAATTTTGTAAAAAAGAAACTATTCCTGATGAAAATACATGATGAATATTGCAAAAAATCGAATTTTTTCGTATGCTTAGGCTCAAATATCTCGAAAACCTAAGCCAATCGAGCTAAACTGATTTTGGATTCAGATTCAGTGCAACGAAAACCTTTAGAAAGTTATAAGCTAATCACAGTTGTGATAGTCATTATATTAAAAAAACGAGAAGTAGATGTGCGATAAGGTTTTTGTTTTTTAATTAAGAACTTTTTTTATCAGTATGAGTTGATTTGAATTTTGATGAAATTAAAAACGTGCACTATGCGAGACTATCTCTTCACTTAGAAACGGCAGCATGGATTTAGATGAAATAGGGAACTTGGATCGCTTATAACCTTAACCCTCTAGTGGGCCAATTTTTGTATGAGTTGAAAAATTCACGAATGGGTGATTTTAGCACGAGAAATCCAAAAATTATGTCCATTTCGATCTGTGACAGTAACTTTTTCCTACAGGGGAGAAAAACCAAGACCGTCTGGAGACGGGCTCGCCGATATACTTTGACGTATTTTCAGCTTTCTCTTACGCAATGTTGACCTACGAACCGGCAATCCCGTCTGCAGACGGTCAAAAATGCAAACTGGGTTTTTATATGTCGGCAAGCCGGTCTGTAGACGGTCTGTGTTCGAAAGCAATTTTCTCCATTTCGAATGGTGACATAATTATATAACTTATATCAAAATACTGTGCTTTTAACTACGAAACCCACTGAATTTTTTTGTATCAAAAAATGTTTCAAAAGAAAAAATTTCTTTAATTACGAAATTACTTAATAGCAAGAAATAATTAATTTTAACCGAGTCTTTCACAATTTATGATTCAACTGCCGATTAAAATACAACGGATTGACATAACGGATTAAAATTTACATCGTCGTAAAGGTACGCTTTTTTTCTATAGATCGTGCTGTTCGAATATAAAAAAAAATTATTATAGGTGCACTAAATACGTGTTTAGTTAACGACCGTCTGGAGGCGGTTCAGCCTACTAGAGGGTTAACTAATATTTGGAATATTCATAAGGTTTTTGAGATTCAATATTGGGCGTTTTAACGCCATGCTGGTGCACTAATAGTTTCCACCCCTATTCTGCAACTCTTTCGTATTCGGATGATGCAATCCTAATCGTATTTTCGATCTTTCGAAATTCGTAACAATGGCATGCATAAAAACGAACGTCATTTTGTATGAAAACAATTCTGTGCTGGAGGCGAGATAAAAGATGTAAATCGATGTGTGTTTGCAGGAAATATTAGTGGTGTTCATTTAAACAGATAAGTTGCCTTCGCATACACGTATATTTTTATCCACTGCTTTATATAAACGAAAGAAAAGAATATTTGTTGCCCCTTATCGAGAAACTTGGGTGCGGTTTAGGTATTTGTATAATGATTTTCAGGTGTTGTGTCCAAACGCATAACCCGAATCCAAAAAACTTTAACATCCACGTGTAATCAAAGGAGTAAACTTTTATCTAAAGCAAATCTTTCAAATTTCCGGCCATTAGTTTATTAATAAATTCGGTTTGGACTATGCACTTTTTTGTAAATTTCGATGTGGGTTCTGCGCAAAAATATTGTGGATGGCGTAGCCGGAGTTATGTGCTTCAATGTTGTATACCTTTGGCATGCGGAAGCCCCTCTTCTCCGCCAACACAGAAAGTAGAATTCTACTAAGTAAGGGTTATAATCTCTAAGCGCGGTCGAAGACAGAAGCAAGCGCAACAGGTGGTGGACCTAACAAAGTGCATGTTTTCCATGGCGTGGAAGAAGTGATTATTGCATTAACTGGATTGCGAACCAGTTCTTCAGGCATAGGAGGAGTTCTGGCTTGTGGTTCAACAATTCAACCAGAACCTGACATAGATGCGCCCATGGTTACTATGCCTAACAGCTCCGCATATCTTTGTGAATCATTCCCATAGCGCGCTCTTACTCCGCTGCTATAATTGCAAATCCTTCGTTTTCTTTAAACCATAGGGCTATTCGCGATCCGGTGCAAATGGCCTAGCATCATTGCATTGCAAATTTGTATTGCAAATTATTTACAATACACAAACAAAATACACGCATTTGCATTTGTCATGGCTTGGCAAATTTGCAATACCGAAAATCCATAGCATAAATATGCTATGCATTGCATTCATAAACAAAACCAAAGCTGATGCACAAAAAGTGTTTTGCAAAAGCTTTACCATGACAGTTTAATAAAGGTCGCTCACAATCCATGGCATATTTCTGCAATTGCATAAATTTGTCAGCTCTTATGCACCGAATCGCGAATAGCCCTCATGTAAAATCACACAATTTTACCATTAATAAGCATTTGAGTGGTCCACTTGCAATCAGCGTTATGTGATTTTATAATAGTAAGCCATAATAAAATATAAAAAAAATTCTACAACAACAAGTAACATCCAAATTGTATATTTCTTTTTATTATCTGAAAATTTGGATAAATAAAAGCCAAATAACATTAAAAAACAAAATCGCAGTGTGGTAGTTTTTGCAAATTTAATATATAGAAATTAAATAGAGCGAGTTTTGAAACAGTAAGTTCAATATAGCCTGCTTTTGTAAGCTTTTCGCGTTCTCTCTTCCATGAAAATTGGTCTGCTTCATTTTTAAGACGTCTTCCACTAGGCACCGAAACTACCACATTTTCTTGCAGTTTTCTAAGTTCATCAGAAGATGGAGACTATTGAACTTGTATAAATACGTACAATAAATATTATAGCGACTTCTGAAAGTGTATATATACATACAGTAATTATTATAGCGACTTTTGCTAGAGTAGCTAACATTTGATGCTATTTTTTCAGAATATATAAGGATCTTGCACTATATTGTTAGTGTACATGAAACTACTTTAAATGATGGTACGTTAACCATCAAAAACTAAAAATCGAAAAAAATTACATAGCGCACTCTGCAAGTGGACTACTCATTTGATGAATGTTTTTTTAATTCCTTTCCACTTTGTTTTCCTTCATTCAGCTGTCTTCGAAAAACAACTGATAGCTGGCAATGCTGCACATGTTTCCGCAAGGGTTGCAGCATGTGGATTTTTCGTTTTTCGTAACGTAGCAACGAATTACGAATTACGAAAATTCGGGTTCTAGAATAAGGGGTTTCATATCGTAGGTGATACTGCAAAACTTTCTATGTCTATAACAGGCTAACCTAATATTCACGCACGCCGCAAATTTACTGTCAAAAATTTCTCATGCACATCCAACTTGTATGGGACCAACCGAAATTGAACGGCGTGCGTATGAAGCTAACTCAGTTTCCAATATTTGTTCTGCGTGACATTTTGATTTGACATTTCGCTCAATGAAATCAAATGCAAACGCAAGCAAGCCAATTTCGGGTGACGCAAAAGAAAAAATTCTACCGCGTGCGTACCAAAACGCAAGCCGCGAATATTAGGTTAGCCTGTAAGTAACTTTAACACTTATATGGTCTCTTACTTGTACCGGAATGCATCTGCAAATCGTTACACCCTAATAAACGAATGATACAACTGTCTACCTTTGGCTGATGAACTATTGCCAGAAGCGATCAGATACAGATAACAGATCAATTAAGCACCAGAGGTAATAAGTGGCATAGAACGTTTTGCAGTATCACCGACGAACTACTGAAGCGATATATCCTAGCTTTAAATGCAGTGGAGGTAGGACAACATTTTCAGCTTTAACCAATGTGAAGTAAAAAAAAAAGTTGTCAAGCAAACATTTTTGAGTTGTGTAGCCAAAAATAAAAAAATTTTTTTAATTTTGTTTTCATAAAAAGTTGAATAACTCAGTAAAATTTTATCAGATTTTTGAAGATAAACACTCATTTTACTCATTATTAAATTTAGTTTTCAATCAATTTAGGACTATTATAGTTTTCTTATAAAACAGTGCGTAAAAATCTCGCCGAAATTGAAAAAAGTAAAAAAAAATGTGTTTGCTGGGTAAATACACACAGATTTCTTAAGGTTTCTTCATTCACATATACAACTTTCGAAAGGCCCAAGTTTAACCCCGGCAATAAAATGAAACTCGGTTCATAATCAACTAATTTACAGGCTTATAAGTGCGCAAAAGTACGACAAACCGTGTTTTTAACGGTAAATCAAGATTTTGAGGGTGTTTGGCAAATTTCATATTTCGATTCTTGTTTTACTCAAGAAGACCTAACAGAAAATACACATAACTTCCCAGGTATTTTTTAGCGTCGCACAGTGTTATTTTTCACATTTGTATAAAAACGTGGGGTGAAACCTGCGGGTATAAGCTAGTAATAATAATAATGCATAGTAATAAACAAATATCGTTTTCTCTTTCTAGAAATTCCTTGTTCATGCAAAGAGACTGAAAGCTGATGGAAGATTTACTTGACTCATGTTTTACCTAGTAATGCATTTGCTGCAACAACTTCCTCCTCTCATGCAGGTATCTGTGATTAGTGAATTGGCTGAAAGAAGTACCACCACGTTCGCCAACAGTACTGATACAAATTTGGATGTTAGAGATGACATTGCTGTACATAAAAATATTATGTCTTCAACTGCTTACGGCGTTCAATTTATATATACTATACTTAGCACTGTCAAGTATCACCATAGAGCAAACGGTAATGACATTCCGCTCACAATGGCTTGAGTTACCATTTAAAGTTAAAAACATTCAAGTGAGTCGTTACCTGCACCGCAAGTCCAGTGCACAAGAATATGCATTCAGTAATCACAAAATATCTGTTTCGCACCTCCTCCTAATTTACTATCTAAGCAACTGCATTTGCGCTGCAACATTGCCACCTGTAATCCGTTTAGGTAAGCTACTCACGGCCGATTTAATAACCATTAATAAAATACTTGCAATGTTTTTTTTAAGGCCATGCCAGTTAAAAATTTTGTTTCAGGTTGCGTTATGCGAAATGGCCAACTCCCATACACTCCTCTCCAAGCTTCGTGTTGAACCAAAACTATTAGCAACATTTCGGATAGCTATGAAACTGAATGTCCAAAATTCATAGCTTTATGCGTAAACTAGCATTGCGAAAGTTTTGTTAAAACTACGTTTGCCAGACGGTCTGATTTTATCAGTACAGTACTGATTTTTCAACTCTTGTACTGATTTTATTCATTTCTTCAATCAGTACGCCAATGTCCTGATTTTTCAAAATTTGTACTGATTTGTACTGAATTTTCAATTCAAACAAAATACTTTAGGATTTTCTTAAGCTTAAATTATTTAAAAAGAAGGCTGACGTTATTTTGTCGAATGTTGTTAGTTATATCGAAAAGAATTTTCATTTTAATAATGACAAATTTAAATATTCGAATTTCTTTTGCCTGTAGCTTACAATTATTTTTTCCCAATTTATTGACATTGTAAAAGACTTTTGCATACAAGACATAGAGTTAGATACTCTTTTTAGCGAATTAATTTTGCGTAGTTGGGTATCAAATTAAAGAGTGTTAAGAAGGCTTACAGCCGAAAATATGTATCATTAGGGTTGCCACCTGTTTCAAAGTTTAACTAAATTACACTGATGAAATAAATGAAATATTACACTATTGGTATCAAATTAAAGAGGGTTAAGAAAGATAACTGTCAGAAGTATTTTTGAGGAGTGGAGCCACCTATTTGAAAATTCTAACTCAGTCAAATTGATAAACTAAATAAAATATTACCATGTGGGTGTCAAACTAAAGAGTTTTAAGAAGGCTTACAGTCGAAAATATTTTAAAGGAGGGTTGCCACCTTTTGAAAAAATTTGCGCAATTTAATTGATAAACTAAATGATATATTACAATATAGATATTAAATTAAAGAGATTTAAGAAAGATAACTGCTGGAAATATTTTTTAGGAGGGTTGCCGCCTATTTTAAAACTTTTAAGCCAGTTAAATTGATAAAGTAAATGAAATATTGCAAGGTATAAAACTAAAGAGTTTAAAGAAGGCTCACAGGCGAAAATATTTTAAAGGAGGATTGCCACCTGTTACAAAATTTAGCGCAATTTAATTGATAAACTAAATGATATATTACAATATAGATATTAAATTAAAGATGTTTAAGAAAGATAACTGCTGGAAATATTTTTGAGGAGGGTTGCAACCTATTTGAAAATTTTAACTCAGTTAAATTGATAAAATAAATGAAATATTGCAATGTGGGTATTAAACTTTAGGGTTTTAAGAAAGCTTACAGCGTAATATATTTTTGAGGAGGGTTGTTACCTGTTGAAAATTTGACTAAATTTAATCGATAAAATAAATGACTTATTACAATATAGGAATCAAATTAAAGAGGTGTAAAAATCATGACTGCTGGAAATATTTTTGAGCACCCCTTGCAACCTATTTTAAAATTGTAACTCAGTTAAATTGATTAAATAAACGAAATATTGCAATGTGGGTATCAAACTTAATAGTTTTAAGAAGACTTACAGCCGAAAATATGTTTGAGGAGGTTTGTTACTTGTTTGAAAATTTAACTCAATTAAATTGATAAAATAAATGAAATGTTACAATATGGGTACCAAACAAAAGGTATTTAAGAAATCTTGATTTGCAAATATTCTAAATAGGATTATGAAATATGTAAAATAAACTGAAAATATTGAAATTAAATGAAGTATTATAACTGGTTCGAAACGGAAAGTGATTGGGAAAGCTTTACTAGAGATTTTTTGTTTAATGTTTCTACTTATCCAAATCCGGACAGTTTGAAAAAAGAGAATTAACGATATCTTATCAAACGAAGTGATAAGTTGGTATACAAATTACGCAATGGAAAAAAAAATAATAAAAAGTTACGGATATAAATGAAGAAATGATAAAAAGCGTAACGAAAACATAAAAATATCCCGTGAAATGAAATAATGAAGACTTAAAATTGAAGCGAAGAGCTTTCATCGAGTAAAACTTCAATTAAAAAAGTGTGTGTACGCTTTGCTCTTCACTATACGCTCTCCCAATATATGTAATACTTCTATATTGGCAGTACGTTAAAAGTACATCCGCAGATATATAATGATAGAACGAGAAAACCAACCAACCAATGTACTTAGAATGACATTTGAAAAGAATAAAAAATCAGGAGCGGTGCAGTAATCGTCAATATTTTAGAAAATTAAATTTTAATTAAAGCCAAAAAAAATTGTGTTTAACTTTTGAAAAAAAAGTAAGGAAAAAGGAATCGTGTTGCACGCGTCAGTATGTTATACTATTTATTTAAAAATGAACCGTATCAGGGAAAACGGGCAGACGCTACATGCTGGCTAAGGTTCTGGAAAGGAAGGCACGGATCCTCTCATCCTATCTTTTAAGAGTGGTTATGGTAATCGCCTCAAGTGTAACTTATATATCTCTTGCGGCTTATTCAAATCCGCCGGTTACCACAAAGCTCGCCCCAATCACGTTCAGGAAAAAATATTTGGTTATTTTATTTTTCTATTTTTTTAATATTTGTAATTTAAACCGCTCCTGGAGTGACTTGACAGTGGTTTGTTTGTAATAGTTCACAAATATACATTTATACTAACACAAGCAAACATTTATTTGATAGGCTGTCTCCCTTTGATTGCGGAATAAAAACACATAGTGAAGATACGTTACTATCAATATAGAAGTATTAGATATATGGCTACCCCATTGAAACATATGCGTTTGAAATCAACGCTTTGCTCGATGCTTCGCTCGCCCCACTATGTTGTTGGCCTAAGTGTATTGCGAGTAAAAAAATTTTGAATAACATCAGATAATATTATTATGATTATGATTACTATTACTATTGTGAACTCCTGGCGTGTAATTTCTGGTGTACACCAATGACATCGATATCATCGGTAACAAAAACGTCGAAGTCTGTCCTGCCTTTTCCAAGTTGGGTAAAGAAGCAAAGCGATTGGGTTTGGTGATCAACGAAGACAAGACGAAGTATCTCCTGTCATCAAACAAAGAGTCAGAGCAGTCCCGCCTTGACACCCACATTACTGTTGCCAGTTGTAATATCGAGAAAGTAAAGAATGTCGTTTACTTGGGAACCAGCATTAACACCGATAATAATGTCAGTATGGAAATCCAATGCAGAATCACTCTAGCCAACAAATGCAACTTTGGACTAAATAGGCAATTCGGCAAAGTTCTCTCTAGAAGTACAAAAACCACACTCTATAAGTCACTCATCATGCCCATGCTAGTATATGGCGCAGAAGATTCGACAATGACAACATTCGACGAGACGGCTCTTG